TAAATTGGCGAGTAATTAGCATTGCAAAAGTAATTAAAATATTCTAAAATCATTTGAACATTTCTAAAGCCATTTGAACAAGTTATAATCAAGATATCAAATTTTGGTTCACAGATCATAAACAGCACAATAAAGGTACATATACTGAAATTTTGAACAAAATCCATTTTGGCCGAAAATGACAAAAATTGTAAGTCCTATTGCCTTAAAGTTTTTGGCCAAAATACTTTCTCTCTGAACTAAAATTTTTATGTGTCTAACTATTTAAGTACATCCAGAATAATACAAGCACCAAGAAATGACCTTGAAACCCATAGAGTGGCGAAATCATTCGCATTGCAAAAGTAATTAAAATATTCTAAAAATCATTTAGTTGTTTTCTAAAGCCATTGAACAAGTTATAATCAAGATATCAATTTTTGGTTAACAGATCCTTAAGCAGCACATTAAGAATGCCTATACTGAAATTTTTGAACAAAATCCATTTTTGCCAGAAAATGACAAAAATTGTAAAGTCTATTGCCTTAAAGGATTTTGGCCAAGAAATACTTTCTCTCTGAACTAAAATTTAATGTACTAACTATTTAAGTACATCAGAGGAATAATACACAAGCACCAAGAAATGACCTCGAAAACCCATAGAGTGGCGAGTAATTAGCATTGCAATAGTAATTAAAATATTCAAAAATCATTTGAACATTTTCTAAGAAACCATTGAACAAGTTATAATCAAGATATCAAATTTTGGTTAACAGATCCTTAAGCAGCACATTCAGGAGTACCTATACTGAAATTTTGAACAAAATCCATTTTTTGCCTGAAAATGACAAAATTATGCAAGTCTATTGCCTTAAAGGATTTTTGGCCAAAAATACTTTCTCTCTGAACTAAAATTTAATGTGCCTAACTATTTAAGTACATCCAGAATAATACACAAGCACCAAGAAATGACCTCAACCCATAAGTGGCGAGTAATTAGCATTGCAAAAAGTAATTAAAATATTCTAAAAATCATTTGAACATTTCCTAAAAGCCATTTGAACAAGTTATAATCAAAGATATCAAATTTGGTTAACAGATCCTTAAGCAGCATTCAGAATTACCTATACTGAAATTTTGAACAAAATCCATTTTTTTGCGAAAATGACAAAATTGTAAGTCTATTGCCTTAAAAGTTTTGGCCAAAATACTTTTCTCCTCTGAACTAAAATTTAATGTGCCTAACTATTTAAGTACATCAGAATAATACACAAGCACCAAAGAAATTACCTCAAAAACCCCATAAGTGGCGAGTAATTAGCATTGCAAAAGTAATTAAAATATTCTAAAATCATTTGAACATTTTCTAAAAGCCATTTGAACAAGTTATAATCAAGATATCAAATTTTTGGTTCACAGATCCTTAAGCAGCACAATAAAGTACATATACTGAAATTTTAGACAAAATCCATTTTTGGCCGAAATGACAAAAATTAGTCCTATTGCCTTAAAGTTTTTGGCCAAAAAATACTTTTTCTCTCTGAACTAAAATTTAATGTGCTAACTATTTAAGTACATCCAGAATAATACACAAGCACCAGAAATGACCTCGAAAACCCATAAGTGGCGAGTAATTAGCATTGCAAAAAGTAATTAAAATATTCAAAAATCATTTGAACATTTTCACAAAGCCATTTTGAACATGTTATAATCAAGATATCAAATTTTGGTTAACAGATCCTTAAGCAGCACATTAAGTAGTACCTATACTGAAATTTTGAACAAAATCCATTTTTGGCCGAAAATGACAAAAATTGTAAAGTCTATTGCCTTAAAAAAAAGGATTTTTGGCCAAAATACTTTTTTTCTCTCTGAACTAAAATTTAATGTGCCTAACTATTTAAGTACATCAAGGAAAGATAATACACAAGCACGCAAGAAATGACCTCGAAAACCCATAAGTGGCGAGTAATTAGCATTGCAAAAGTAATTAAAATATTCTAAAAATCATTTGAACATTTTCTAAAAGCCATTTGAACAAGTTATAATCAAGATATCAAATTTTGGTTAACAGATCCTTAAGCAGCACATTCAGGAGTACCTATACTGAAATTTTGAACAAAATCCATTTTTGCGAAAATGACAAAAAAAATTGTAAGTCTATTGCCTTAAAGTTTTTGGCCAAAAATACTTTTCTCTCTGAACTAAAATTTAATGTGCCTAACTATTTAAGTACATCAGAATAATACACAAGCACCAGAAATGACCTCAAAAACCCCATAAGTATGGCGAGTAATTAGCATTGCAAAGTAATTAAAATATTCTAAAATCATTTGAACATTTTCTAAAAGCCATTTGAACAAGTTATAATCAAGATATCAAATTTTGGTTCACAGATCCTTAAGCAGCACAATAAGGAGTACCTATACTGAAATTTTGAACAAAATCCATTTTTTGGCCGAAAATGACAAAAATTGTAAGTCTATTGCCTTAAAGGATTTTTTTGGCCAAAAATACTTTTCTCTCTGAACTACTTAATGTGCTAACTATTTAAGTACATCAGGAATAATACACACAAACACCAAGAAATGACCTAAAGAAACCCATAAGTGGCGAGTAATTAACATTGCAATAGTAATTAAAAATATTCACAAAAATCATTTGAACATTTTCTAAAAGCCATTTGAACAAGTTATAATCAAGATATCAAATTTTGGTTATGAATCCTTAAGCAGCACATTCAGGAGTACCTATACTGAAATTTTGAACAAAAGTCATTTTTGCCTGAAAATGACAAAATTGTAAATCTATTGCCTTAAAGGATTTTGGCCATCACTTTCTCTGAACTAAAATTTAATGTGCCTAACTATTTAAGTATCAGAATAATACACAAGCACCAGAAATGACCTCGAAAACCCATAAGTGGCTGGTAATTAGCATTACAAAGTAATTAAAATATTCTAAAAATCATTTTGAACATTTTCTAAAGCCATTGAACAAGTTATAATCAAGATATCAATTTTTGGTTAACAGATCATAAGCAGCACATTAAGTACCTATATACTGAAATTTTAGACAAAATCCATTTTTGGCCGAAAATGACAAAATTGTAAGTCTATTGCCTTAAAAGTTTTTGGCCAAAATACTTTCTCTCTAATTAAAATTTAATGTGCCTAACTGTTAAAGTACATCCAGAATAATACACAAGCACCAAGAAATGACCTCGAAAACCCGCCAAGTGGCGAGTAATTAGCATTGCAAAAAGTAATTAAAATATTCTAAAAATCATTTTGAACATTTTCTAAAGCCATTTGAACTAGTTATAATCAAGATATCAAATTTTTGGTTAATAACAGATCCTTAAACAGCATGTTCAGGAGTACCTATACTGAGATTTTGAACAAAATCTATTTTGAACTTGAAATTGTAAGGCTTACCCTTACAGGATTTTTTAGCCAAAATACTTTCTCTCAGAACTAAATATAATGTGCCTAACTATTTAAGTACACAGAATAATACACAAGCACCAAGAAATGACCTCAACCCATAAGTGGCGAGTAATTAGCATTGCAAAAAGTAATTAAAATTTCAAAAAATCATTTGGACAAGCAATAATCCAGATATCAAATTTTGGTTAACAGATCCTTAAGCAGCATGTTCAGGAGTACCTATACTGAGATTTTGAACAAAATCTATTTTTTGGACGAAATTGTAAGGCTTACCCCTTACAGGATTTTTGGCCAAAAGTACAGGTATTCACTGTACAATTCCCATAAAACTGCCCTAACAGAATAAAAATAAGACTTCAATTGCCCAAATATGAATGTGGCTGACACCCCCCTGTCTGAATATCACAAATATTTTCAATAGCTAGATTAGTTTTGTCTGGAAAATTTAAATAATGGCAAGTTTTTAGAATAATATAAATCCTTAACTGTGAAGTGTAGCAGGAACACCTGTGAGTTAGAGAAAAATTGTTAGGTGAAGTAGATAAATGTTTCTGGCAAGTATACAGTGTACAGTAGTGTGCTAGTGAATCATTAACATAGATATAGCAAAAATGATTTTATTTAAATATTTATGCAATTGCATTACAAAAATTGACTAAATAATTACACTGTACAGTACAGCTACTCACTAGTATTTTAATTGTGGTGTTGCAACTGATGATAACAAAAATATCAACCATTTCCACCTCTTGCCCATTTAAAGGGGCATTCATTACCTCTGCCAAGTATACCACTCACACTTTGTGTGGCATGAGGGAAAGACAACTCCTTACCTTCAGTTTCAAGATTATGGTTGCTAGACTTTCATTAATTTACATTCAGGCAGGGACTTTTCCTTTTGGTAGTAAAGACCTTTTCTGGAATTTTCTTTAGAAAAGACCTGCTTCATGCACATCACACACTCGGTGAGCACTGTAACCCCTCTCCTTAATCCTTAGACTTTGATTGAAAAACTGGTTTACTACTGTATGGACAATAAACACAGAAATAAAGTCTTCAACACATGTTATTCTTTAAAAAAAATAAAGATGTTCCAGCAGAAGAATAAAACCTGAAATACCTGTACATTATAAATAATTTACTTACATTTGCAGCTGTGATGGAGTGTACAAGTGAGCTTGTGGGGTCCAAGCCACCAAGGGAAGGAGGGAAGAGCTGGAGTGGGAGGAGGATAACAGGCACACCACTAGGTCCACTCATATACTTATGGCCATGGTTGGGGCTCAGAATAGGCACTAATTAAACTAAAAGAATGAACAGTCTTGCTGGAAAACACGGAAACTGATGTTACGAACCCAAGCCACGTGGAGGAAGGTAATTTTCCTTTGCAGAGAACAAGTTCCACAAACGCTATCAATGTTTTGTTCATAACTCTGGGAGGCTTGTTTGTAACATTGAAGTGTCATAACCCCAAGACTATAGTGTCCTAGTTCTATTATCTTTGACTCCTCTATAAAAAAGATTTTTTTTTTATGGAATAGATCAATATAATGATGGTATTTAATACAACCATTTACTGTTTCTTTTAATCAAAAGCATAAACATACCAATATAAAAAATAAATGCAGGAGTTCTCAAGAGTTAACAATATAATTAACATTTTCATTAAAGCTACAAGCATTACATACTGTACTAGTTCCATGATTAATTTCAGGTGTTTTTTATACTGTATACTAAATGTGTTATTAAAAGTCCACGGACAGATTACCTTGTCAAGAACTGGTATATTATAATATAGTAGAAATAATCTGTAGGTAAACATTCAATTTACATATCAGAGACTTTAAAATTTCAAACTTAAAAAGTCATCACGTGGTAGAAACACGAAAATGTTTCATAGGGTAACAATAATATACAGGGTATTTGGAAAATGTAGCTTGCTATTCTATGTTTCAAAGACTCTGGGAATTAACTTTTGTGTCTAGAAATTTTCTTGTAACTTCCATCCATGATTTGACCTTATATTACAGGACACTTCCTGGGGAGAACATGAGGGAAATATTCAAGAAGAGATAACTCCTAATGACTTCAAGTAGAGACTTAAACCACCACTGTGCAATTCTAATAAAGTACTATATTACTCTTTTATGCCAAAGTGAATCGGAAGCAAAATTCATTAGTTTATGGAAGCTTGATGTTCATCATTAGGTTTGAAGTGCAAAGGTTTAAACTATGGTGGTTGGCTACAAGAGTCTTTATACACCATTATGAGGAAAATGGCTTGTTTGGTGTAAGGAGGATGAATATTATGCCTCTTTGTCTGACTGAAGAATAACAGACAGATTTGAAAGTACTGCATAATTGTGAAAAAATAGAAGAGAAACTGGGTATGTATCTCATATTGATTCAACTTCCTTTTAAGAAGTGGACGGCATTTGAACTTAGAATGACTTCTATATGAACACCTGAGATCATCTAAAAATTATACTGTACTCTATATCATTGTTACTGAATGATAACTTTTAATAAATGTGTTAGTAAATTCTCAACACGTGCTTTTATACTTATTTCAATAACAAAAAAGAAGAAAAGTATAATACAGTGTACTATTACAGTAAAACCCCTCAGTAAGAGATTTCTCATAAAGGGGATATTCCAATGAGGAATATATTTTTATCTGGTATAATTGGCAGATTTGGCCAGTAAGAGCCAATAATGGGAACACTCCGCTATCAATCACATGGTGCCTGTTAGAACTTCCTGACCTTGTGCACCTGAGCACCCCAGCTGATGGTGTGCCTGTGCTGCCTGCATTACTCTTTCATCACTCAGAAAGCAATATAGATTCTAATCATGTGTACTGTAATTCCCTTAAAATGTTTCCAAACAAACAAAAATGATGGTACCAAGTGCAGTACAGTGCAAAAAATAAGTGCTTGGGGAATTCTACCAGTAGGAGACAGGGCTTTCACACACTGTCAGGTATTGGGAGGGTTTACTGTACTTCAAACCTTAAAGTTCATCATGGCGATTAAGGAGGTGACACTGACAGTCTCCAAATCGCTTCTCATTTTCTTTGATGGGTACAAATTCCATGCCCTCCCGCACTACTACATCAGACTTGAGTCGTTGGCTCCATTCCTGTCAGAAGTATATACAGTACAGTACTATATATATATAATTTAAAAATTACATAAGTTATGATATCTAGTTCAATAAGTAATTTCCATTAATTATGCAATACACTATATGGGACATCTAACTCCACTACAAAAAATATACAGTTGGGTCTCACATTACGCGGTTAATGTAACCCGGAGGGTACCGCGGAAAGTGAGGAACGCGTAAAGTGAACAACATAACATATGGGATTAATTGAAATGGAGTCCAGGCCGATCCCCAAACTCCACTTTTTGACGACACACAACTATGTTGTAGTAAAAATATTATCTTAACTTTATGATGGCATGCACACACAATTAATAATTAAGAGAAATATCAATAATATTAAGTTTTTTAACACTTACATTAGTAGAAAAGATGGCTGGGCACACGGGGATGGGGGGTTGGTTCCGAGGCAGAGGGCAGATTATTGGCCCTCACCTGTATCACTGGTATCAATTGTATCACTATCCACCACAGAGGCTTGCAGGGCCTCTTTGTTAAACCCCTCAAAGTCCATATAAGTCCATATCCTCACTATAATTATCACTATCACTGACTTGGGCCGGTTGTGGTGGGTGGCGGGTAAAGAACTCGGTAATGTTTTGATGACTGGGCGACCTTGTGCGCACCATTTTCGCGCCTCTTACACAACATGGCGGATGGCGGGAGGTTTGGATCCAAAAATGGCGCGGCTTGCCAGCCGCTCTCCGCGTAATGGGGTTCACGACCGCGGAATGTGAGCATGTTAGGTTCTGGCAAGGCACCGCGTTAACGGTGAAACGCGGAATGCGGGACCGCGTAATGTGAGGATTGACTGTATACCCTATACGGTATACTGTATATATGTAAGTTGTAAGACAAATTATAAAGTCCCTACATAATGAGACAGATGGAAATCTAAATGTTCAGTTTGGGCAAATTTTCAAAACTAGAATTTGATGCTGCAGTAAGTTTGATTTGTTTTTGGAACTCATACTTACAGAATCTGAAAGACATTTTAAAATAACTCAATCCTGTACTGAGTTACAGGCACTGGATGATGGCTACATTAGAGTCCTACTATGTACATACTCAAATGGTGTTGCACTGTGAAGTACTCAAAGCCACAATCATAGCCCTGGTATTTTGTGGCTAATTTAACCAAACCTTAAATAATTCTCTTGCTTGTAGACATGGATTATTACATTGTCTACAGGATTTTTTAAATCTAAATGCTTTGCACAAATTTTCACTTGTATGTTCATGCAGGGTGTTTTTCCTGTGGTGTTTCTACAACCCTTAATCAATATTTTTAATTCTGCAGGGTGGGCTTAAATCCTATACAGTAAAAACCCTGAGTACCGGACTACCTAAGTAACGGCACGTTCGAATAAACTATGCAGGTATAAACACTCACCTGGAATAAAGCAGCATGATAGCAATATATATTCTTTGGCATGAGGTTTTCTTGTACGTACTGCCTACCATTCTCAGCAATGACTCGGACCTTGTCATCATTAGATGCTGCCCACTCAATCTGGAACACAGGACTTTATTTCATACATGTTGTCCACAAAAGCAGTTTCTAGTCATATAATTTTGTAAAATTGAAAAGGTCAGATAATATACAACAGTGTTATACAGGTACTTGCTGCCGAGTTATGATATTCCCAACAGAAAAAATTCTTGTTTGGTGAGATTGCTCCTAAAGTATAATGTAGAAATCATAAAATTCATCAATCTTTCAAAATTCTTTATGGTGTTATACGTCATTGAAAAACTAAAATTTGTCTTACCTTTTCAATGAGGTCAGAAAGGTCCCTCTTAAAAGGAATGTAGTGAACATAGGGCTCCAGATCATGGTAAAAGAATTCATAGTATGGCGAGTCTTGCTTCAGTACCACACCGCTTCCTCCTAGGAGGTATGGTAAACGATATGCCGCTACTGTTCCATCAATGTTGATCTGATATTTGAACTAAAGAAACAATGTTAATGTTATTACCTAACATAAAATACTCAAAATAATGTTCAATATGTAATACAGCCCAAAGAATAAATAACCATAGACAGTATTTATTGACATAACTAAAATAAAAATATTCATGCAACCCAGTATATTTAGTTTCAAGTATAACAAATACAGGTAGTAAGAATCGTGATAGTAAGAATCGTGTTTACAGGTGTACAAAGAATATTTATTGTGGAAAGTTACAATATGACATGAAATTAAGAAGCAGCTAGCAAGGAATTTCAACAGAAATCAGGAGGAGACACCAAACTCAAAACAAATCAATCATCAAGTGTCTATACAACAAATTTCATCAAAGTGGGACTGCCACAAATGTTAATTTTAACTCCAATGCAAGTTTTCTAAATGAAAAATTTGAAATCTTTATGAAGGATAATGCCCAATACGTACATCAAACTTCATTCATTAAAGATGGAATGAACCTGATGCACCAAACTTCAAGAGAGAAAGACACATTCTGTGTATTATACTGTAAAAAGAATTAGCCTGAAATTAATCCCCTTGATGAGTGAAAAAAATTAAATCAGGAGTTTTGTTTCATTTACAACCATTAACTACTTACATCAAAGAATTTGAAAAAAGAGACATGTTTCTCCTTAGGTCCATATGTATCTTCTTCATCTTTGAAAAAAAAGAAGTTGGTGAGTGAGGCATTTATTAGGTGTTTATGTTCTCTTGCTAAAGTAATGAGGTCAAGCCTTTCCCGACGTGAGTCACGGCCTCGCCAAAATGCCTGTGATTTCTTCTCATGCCACGGTATGTCATTGTTGGACTGGACAGATAACAAGTCTAGAGTCACTCTGAAAATATGACATATGTTTAGTTTTAAGGACATATTATGTTAGGTGGACACTTGTAATGTAATTTTTTTTTGTGTGTGTGGAGAAAAACCAATGAACAATCAAGTAGAATACTGTAGGGTCGGGATATATTGAGACTTTTTATAAAGATTTCTTTATATCGCGACTACCAAGATTATCGACATTTTCCAATATATAGCGATAAATTTATTTATTTTGTGAGGGAAATCGGGCAAGATATATTTCAAATGCACCGCCATGGCAAACGAATGCCTTATTTGCTCACCAGAGGCGCCACCATGGCTGCTCACCCACGCATTCACGCTCGCCCGCTCAGTCTTTCTGAGGGAGTGACGAGTAAGCAGCCGACTCTGCTGCAGATTACGACTTCAAAGGCGAGTGTAAATGGGTTGCTAGTGACATGAAAAGTGAAGTGAAGAGAATGGAAAGCTTAATGGAAAAGATTTAATACTGTAACTAATATTTTTGGTTTGTTCGTTTATGTAGGTGTGATATTGTCAAGTGAGTGTGGCGTCTGCTGCCCAGCCTGTTGTTCCCGAGTCTAGAGTTCACTGGTGCTTTAGTTAGTAAAACAATAAACTCATTAAGTCAAGCTTAGTCACTTTTATTGGCCTTCAGAACCTAACCCTATTTTCCCCATTGATTACATGTAATTATATACAGTGGGGTATGCTATAACGAATCTAATTGGTTCTAGAACCTTGTTCGTTATAGCATTCGTTTGTTATAGGATTAATCCGTTCCAGGCCCCCAAATACAACCACTTAACACTGAAAAATATAATATAAAATTGTAAAAATTGTAAAAAAGTGCATAAATATGCATCTAAACCCCTGAAATAAAGAATATCATTAATATTTGTAATAATAAAACAATAAATTAGAAAAAAAAAAAAAAAATTATGTTCGTTGTAGGAGTTTCGTTCGTTATAGCATTCTCAATTTTATAGGTAAAACCGTTCGTTATAGGAATATTCGTAGTAGGATCCGTTCGTTATAGCATACCCCACTGTATAGCGATTTAGTGTATAGCAAACATCATTGGACCATATCTCGCGATATATCCCGACCCTACTGTACCTGTGTTGAAGTGGGGAGGGGGCCTTCACCAGAACACTGACCCATTAGGAGAAAGAGAAACTTTCTCTTTTCCCACACAAGTGCTTCCATACACAACCCTGTCATAGGAAACATCCAAATGAAGTTTGATTAGATTCAGACAAACATTTCTGAAGGAGACTGTTATGAGCAATTAACATGACATGCAATGGATACCTCATTTGTCTACTTTGACTTTTAAGCAAATGAGCTATAAAAAATATGTACAGTATGTATAAATAGCGAAGGAAGAGACCAAACAAGTACACTGTCAAACCTTTTCACTGCCAAAGATTGGAGAAACAATCCAACAGAACTACACATTAGAACATGACAACAAGAGGACTGTTGTGATATGTATTCAGGAAAAGGAATAACTGAATAAAACTCACCATAATGCTATAGTGCATTACTGAGAAGGAAAAAAATATTCAGAATTTTTACTTGCCTTCCTTTTGGAAATGTAGTAAATTTCCAAACCATTACTTACATCTATGCAATTTATGATATCGTACTTTGAGAAGACTTTATTCTTTAATGAATTGTGAATTCATAAAAAAAAAATTCACCAGGAAAGGTATTCCAATTATATAAACTTGGCAATTTAACAAGATTTATTAACAGTACAGTACAGTACAGTACTACTGTACCTGCCCATCATCTCCAGTGTGGCCTCAGTGATGTCATAGGTGGGCATGATAATGTCTGCGGTATCTTCAGAACCACACCATGAGAAGACTGGGATGAGTGGCTTGACCTTTAATTAAAAAATAATTTCGTTAGGGGCAATTAATGATAATTTGGCACTGTTATGTCTTTCAGTCCATGTCTTTTCTCAGTTAAATTAAAAAAAATTCTTGATCAACAAGTTCTTAAAAATATTTAAATGGTTTAAACCAGTTGGTTCTTCACAACCTAACATCACCTGCACTACCATCTCCATAAACTCCAAGATCACCGACTCTCCTTTCATTCAAGCACCCTACTTCCTGGACGTTCATCCCCCTCACTTCTAATGCATCTCTCACTCAATTATTCTATCTCCTTGATTTTTCCTTCTCTCCACTACCACTCATCTCTGAACAATAACCTCTTTTTACCAATACATAAAACAAATTCTGGTCAGCTCTATGTCTATAGTTCTTTTACCTCCACACCTCCTTATAACTTATTTCACACTTTATTTATATTCTAATTAACACACCTTTGGATCAACAAGAGGCCAGTCACCAAGATTAATGATAAACTCAACATCAGGAAGATACATCTTTCGAAGCATGGAGTGGAGAATGTTGTCCATGAACATTTTGAATCCCACATGCTGGCCATAGCATTTACGGTACACCTGTAAAGAAAAACAGTTCTAAGGTATGTGTGACTTCATAACATAAGCTGATTGTTCTTAGCAGGTGCCTCTCATCAGCTACAAAGCCTGTAAGCTACAATACAGAAGGCCCTTAATTTATAATGAGGTTCACTTACATAGTCATATTCTCATCCCAAAATACCTGTATATTTTTTTCTACAAAGATATATGGACTTATAAAGGTCATAAAAGATTATCCTGTACTTCTAGAACTCGCACAAACAAGCAATAATTTTCCATCCAAAACACACATCAGCAATCATCACACCGATTTGCCATGCCTTTTCCAGTAACTTGAAAAGAGAGAGAGAAAAGGAGAGATCGGTTGGCATAATTCCTTGTCCCTTATTTTTTTGCATATGGTACCCAACTTATCTAGTAATTCTCTTGGGGTTCCTTCATTATCAATCAGCATTGTGGTCAAACTGAAAATGCTCAACCGGATCCTCTTGTTCTTTATCAAACCAATGGCTATCAAATCCCCTCATTCTCTATCAGGGCCTACTGTATTACCTAACAAGACAGACAAAGTAAAAGTAAGTGGGTGAACAGGGCCAAAAGTTATCACACAATTACAAGTCACCCTTTCAACTTCCTCGATAAATAACTCATATAAAACTTTCATTACACAGCATTAATAAATATTAATATAAAACTTATCATACAGATGACCTCAAATGTGATGGAGAAGCACATATGATGTTATTAATTGTATAAATAAGTAATGGATGAGATTGGAAAAAATGTCCCCCTCTAAATTTCATCAAAATTTCAATGGAATTAATTGAAGATTGTATTTATTCATTGGGATGTTAATTTGAAGTTTATTAATTTCAAAATATAATTCAAATTAATATAAAACAAATAAAAACTTACTTTATTATCTTTAATTACGTAGTTGCAGAAACTTCGTGATCCTGCCTGGTTGAATCTTTTAGCAGCTTCTTTGAGAACAGGTTCAAAGTCTACCTCAGAAAAATTTTTGAGGTCATAATTAATTTGTTCATAAGATGTTGGGCAACTAACCAATTCCTGCCAACTGCTTATGTCTCCTATTGGACAGTAACAATCTTCAGAATATACTGGACCTGAAAAGAACAATACAATACAGTACAGTATAAAACAGGTGTAATTCACATGCCTTGGTATACAGTCAACCCTCGCTTTACGCGGTCCCACTTTACGTGTTTCCACGTTTACGCGGTACCCTGCCGAACACGGAATGCTCACTTTTCGCGGTGTGTGTACCCTTTTACGCGGAGAGCGGTGCGAGCAGGATGCGTACAAGGTCGCCCAGTCATCAAAACACTACCGAGTTCTTCACCCGCCACCCACCACAGCCGGCCCAAGTCAGTGATAGTGATAATGATAGTGAGGATATGGACTTATATGGACTTTGAGGGGTTTGACAAAGAGGCCCTGCAAGCCTCTGTGGTGGATAGTGATACAATTGATACAAGTGATACAGGTGTGGGCCAATAATCTGCCCTCTGCCTCGGAACCAACCCCCCATCCCCGTGTGCCCAGCCATCTTTACTAATGTAAGTGTTAAAAAACCTAATATTACAGGTTGTATCTCTCTAGTCCGGCATTCTGTGGTCCGGAAACCCCCATGGTCCGGAACGATTTTAGTTTGTCCAATAGGTAGATAGGCAACTTTTTTTTTTTTTTTTTTTACTTATCTGAATTATTATTACAGGAGTATTAAATTTTTGCCCCTCAGGCCCCAATGTGGGTCAGTGACCTATGCCCGGGTGGGCTAATCCCCTTAAAAAAACAAAAAAACAAAGCCGCGGGAAATTAAGGTTTGTTTACATCCGGCAGTTCGGCTGCTCTCTCTCTCTCTCTCTCTCTTTCTGCTTGTCTATGCAGAGTACAACATTTAACCCTTCAATATATATATGAGCAGTAAATAAGTGTTGCTTTCATATTGTTATGTAGAGTAATGACGATATGTTTTCACATGTGCGCACTTACATACACGCAGTCTCACATTTTTTTACCATTAATGGTTAGCTACTTATATTGTTCCATTTATTAACATTAAATAACATTACAGGTACTTCAAACAACCATATTAATTTTTTTACATTAATTTTACTACAGCTAAAATCAGGGTCTTATTTCCAGTTTTATATGTAGAACCAATCAGTCACTGGTTTCGTAAGCTTTAACATAAACAATGCCGGCAGCCGTCTCGTCTCCTCTAATATTCCACGCATTATTAATAAATTGTATTGTTAATTTTGCACACACACACATTATTTCAATAAAAACAAATTCAGAAAAATTAATTAAAATATATATGAACAGTAAATAAGTGTTGCTTTCATATTCTTATGTAAAGTAATGACGATATGTGTTCACGTGTGCGCATGCGCACTTACATACGCGATCTCTCTTTTTTCTTTACCATTATCGTTAGCTACTTCTATTGTTCCATTTATTGACATTAAATAACATTACTTAAAACAACCATATTAATTTTACTACAGCTACAACCAAGGTTTTATTTTCTTCAGTTTTATATGTAGAACCAGTCAGTCACTGGCTTTGTAATCAACGAAAACAATGCTGTGTCATTTCCTCGTGTATTTTAATATTCTACGTATTATTAATGAATTGTATTGCTCATTTTGCACACATAAACATTAATTCAATAAAAAAGACATTCAGTAATAAACAATAATGAATCTTTTGTACATAAGAATTAAAAACTCGCGAAATTTGAGAAGCTACTATACGACATTTAACCTTTCAATATGTCTTCAAAGAGACCATGATGCAGAGAAAGTGGTGCTAGTGCTTCCAAGCATAAGCACAAGTCAATATCTATCCAGGAAAAGGGTGAATTTCCATGATCCGGCAATTTCCATGGTCCGGCACCGGTCAGGTCCCGAGGTTGCCGGACTAGAGAGGTACAACCTGTATTGACATTTCTCTTAATTATTAATTGTGTGTGCATACCATCATAAAATTAAGAAGTTAATTTTACTACAACGTAGGTAGTGTGTCTGAAAAAGTGGAGCTTGGGGGTCGGCCCGGTCTCTATTTCAATTAATCCCATATGTTATGTTGTTCACTTTACGCGTTTCTCACTTTACGCGGGTCGCCGTGGGTTCAATTGACTGCGTAAAGTGAGGGTTCACTGTATAGCATCAATTGCCGAGTATGATGTAATGAATTTCCTTTTACAGTCCTCATCTCATAAACATACTGCCTAGAGGATGATTAGTGGGTTTATCTCGTCTACCCTCTATATATTCAACAATACAGGGGGCCCCCAAAGTTCACAATTTACTTAGCGGTTCTCGGTTATTCGCAATGACACCCTGGATGTACCCAAGAATGTCTGTAGGTAGTTTTTTTATCATATTTGCCACTTATCAGCTTACTAGCCATTTGGGGGCTGGGACAGGGAGCCATTCACTCTAGAAACAGTAATTTCCTTTACCTGTATTGTAAATATGTGTGTGTGTGTGTGTGTGTGTGTGTGTGTACAGTAGACACACACACACACAAAACACGTACAATAATAATTGGAACATCCTCTCACAAATTTATTAAAAATGTGACAGTCTATCCTCAAGTCTGTGCTCTATTAATAAAGTACAGCTCTACTGTAATAGAACACAGACTTGAGGGTAGCCTGTCACATTTTTAATAAATTTGTTTCTGATTATTTGTGAGAGGATTTTCCAATTATTATTTATTTGCATGTGTTTTTGTGTGCGTGTGTCTAAACACACACACACACACACACACACACACACACACACACACACACACACATGCACACATATATACAATACTACAGGTAAAAGAAATAATTGTCCTAAGGGCAAACACAAAGGGAATATACATTTCTTTGTACACAAGTAAAAATGGATACCATACCGACTCTCACACTACTCGTATCTTTCACAAGGAGTTATCTGATACTCAACAATACTAAAATATAATTATAATAAAAAATTAAATCTTTGAAGATTTTACATACAAAAGTATAAGGGGAGGACTTCGCAAAAAGCAAAATGGGGCGTCATGTCAAAAAGTTTGGGAACCACTAATACAGAAAAATGTTTCAAGTGCTTGAAGTAAATTTTGGCCTCTAGAATGACACTTATCATACTGTACTATATTCATGCATATGACATACAGCACAGTATTTATGTAATAACAGACAGATACCAATAATTAGATCTATTAATCAATTTATGTAAACTTCTAAAGTATTCTCACTTTAATATTACATGTTCTCTTTGTTTTGTCTCACATATTGGTTGCACTAGCCTATAAATCAATATACTGAATGAACTCACCTGATATTTTATATGGAGATTCTGCAACATGTTGACTATTATACAGGACATGAATGGTTAATAGCTTTCTACATGTCTGATATGTACGGTACCTGAAAAGGTAATATTTAGTAAAGTATTTCAGAAAAAATACAGCAAAAGTATTATGGACTGATTCTGGAAACTCTATTTATAGCAGTCAGGACAAGGAGACATGCATTTATACTAACCCACAACAATGACACTAATCAAATACTGTGCTGCTCCGTAATCAGTACAACGCTCGATCCTGACCCTAAACCTCACAGAGGAGTCATAAAAGGTGAAATTTACCACTTAAGTCTGGCAGATGAGTGACTCTTGGGGCTGTAGCAGCTTGTGCATACATACCTTCCTGTCCATTGTTGGCTACTCTGGATTTCCAGTTACAAGACTCAGTCCAGCAGAACTCATTGATGAAACACACACACACTGTACAGTGCATAGAATATATACGTATATGCAGTCTTTTAAGGCACAACAAAATTTTTTTGTTTGATACATACAGTATACTGTACGTATACAGTAATTAAAAAAATCAAAAATTAAAATTCAAAACAAGCAAAAACTGGCTATACAGGTACTGTTTGACCAAAGAAGAAAGGTTAATCATTAACATAGATCAACTTGGCTTGTTTACTACATTTCTGAAAATAATCAGCTTTCCAAAATTAACTATCCTCCTTGAACTAGTCGTAATGTATATAGGACTGATCATATATATTATATTGGGTTAGAGTAGCGAAACCCAATTGTCTGTTTCTCCTTTTATTGAGTAACTGCTGTTGATAAAATTCCAGAGTGTAAATCAACCGTAACTTAATCACTGTAGCTATGAGTGTTAAGAGAAGGACGGGGACTATGTAAATAGACCGTTTAATCACGTCCTTCTTGTGTGAGGGGTTGAGTAGTAATTCTATGAGTAGTGACCCATCGAGGGAGAACGGAATAGGCACGTCGTCCTCCCTCGAGGGAAGACGGAACCATCCACGGTGGCTCTCAAATAACGTCTTCCTCTAGTCAAGGATATCAAACTACTGCCCGCTTTAGGTGGCCAGGGAGCCGGCTACTAAACGCCTTAACTCAGCATAATATGATGCAGCTTCCCGTGGGCACACTTTATCACGTGCAATGAACATGTCACTTCATAGCTACTCCGGAAAGTTACAGGGGATGAATTGGCATACAAATCAAATGTAATTAACCCATTTATATAATTCTTCTGTTTATGAAGCAGGGGCCATTACATCCTAACCTGTTAACAACGTTTAACATTCCAACACTCACGTTAATATACCGGTTAAATAAAAATATGACAGGATCAAGTCATTCATCATTTTAAAAGACTGATTTACAACTAAATTTGTTTCTTCAAATGATGAGATAACTGTTTTTATTTGTACAGTCCTTTATAAATCCCAAACTCCGATACATACAAGCATTTTACCCCATATACCACTTCCGACTCACCTTTTAGAACTCGGCAAATTGTCAAAATCCATCAAACTATCATATACTATACTATAACAAAAACAAAATCAGTGGGGTTTATAAATGTAAAGTAAACCTTTGCCATTTATTGTATATACAGGATATACAGGTACAAATTATTCATGTCAGAATCCACAAGCATGTCTCCTGCTTTACCTCCTGACAAGATGTCTAATACCATACCTGACAATATAAGATCCATCATAGCGATCAAGAATTTGTGTCCACACTCGACAATTAGTTCCCTGGGTCGTTTCTCCTTCTACTTGGACGGTGAAAGATTTGCCGACAGACTTTTCAATCCTGTTATGTGATAAAATTTTATTAACAAAGACACTTCTGAACTTCCCTATCTATTAATAATGATCAAAATCAAAGAAAACTCATTCTTGTTTTGGTGCTGTAATACATGACACCACGTCTATTAAAGTATACTGCATCTGGTTTATTGTGAAGCCTATTAGAAAGAAAAATTTACGTAAATATTTTAACCACCTTTCATCTTTTTACTTTTACTGTACCTTTATCCTTTTCACCACTGATCGGCAAGTTAGCCACTTGGGTGTTTGATCACATCTGTTATGCACTGTTGGCAAGTACTGGGCATGTAATGGCTCCAGAATGTATTATTTTAAAAAATTATACTGTGCACTAAATCATGCAGACTCTTAGTTTTAAAATAAACCAATACAGTAATGCACAGTACAATACTGTGAACCCTCAGTTGTCCAGACTTCAGTTAATCCAAACTAGCCAGCTGGCCTGGAGACTATATGTTAGCTTCGTCACAACTCTCTGGCAGATTGTTCCAGGACTTCACAACTCTCACCAAAAATTTGCTCAGGATATTTTCTCAACTTGGTTCATTTTATGAAAGAAAAATTACATAATGTAGTAGTATCTACTACAGTACTAGAGCTTACTGTCAATGCAACACTGTCAAACTACAGTACTGCTATTTTACATAATTTTTTTAAACCTAACATAACCCAACCCCCAAGACTAGTTATTGTGTTTTTTTCTTTTAAAAGAAAAGTAAAATTTTCTGTGAAAATACCTTTGAACAGAAACAAACATGGCAGACATGGGTAACTTGTCAGCATTGGTTCTCAAAAGTAATTACAGTAATCATAATACAGTACAGTAGTTACATTACACAAATTGTATTCTTAGTTCATTTATCATTATTTTCACAAGGTATGAAATTTTTTATAGGTATGGGAATTATTCCAAAAACACCGGCAAACAATTTAGGAAGAAAAATAAATTAATAAAAATTTTCATTCGGTGATCATGAAAAGTTTTGGAGAATGCAGTACATAATTATTCAGTTATGACTCTCCCAACCCTGTTAATCTTGACACCAGCACAGGTGGGTAGGGCTTTGAAACAAGAGGGAAAATGTGGAATTAAAAACCTAACCTAACCTGGTCATTGTACTGTCCTCACCTACTGGGTAATTATTCCGCAAACACTGACATACAATTTTGGCTTGTAACCTGACATTGGCATATGATTTAGGCTCGTTTGCCGGTGTTTACATATACTGTATTACCCCTTTTATACGATACTCTTAGAAAATTTCTTCTGGTCCGTGCTAATGTCATGAAAGGGTCAAGTATTACCATAAACAGGGTTAATTACCATATAATTACCTGCTCCATATCTCACTGTCATTGAGAACTGAAAGAGGCATAAAGAATTCAGTAAACATTCTGTAGTGACCATTCACGAAAATTACTTAAAAAAAATATGCTTTCATACGATTTTTCACCCCCGTTTCACACAAATATGACCTTCATTTCCAGCGGAAATTGGTACTTTCGGAGATATGCCCCCAATTACCAACATTGTGGGGTAAACACAAGCAAAAATTACTCAGATACCAATATATATAGGACATGCTTAACTAAATCTAACTTGAGAAACCAGAAGATCCTGACCTAACCTAACCTCCAATCCAGGCCCTGGTATACAAACCTGACCTAACTTAACCTAACTTTACCAAACCAAACCTTACTGTACCTCACTTAATTGATGGAGGAGGATAAAATGATGCCAATTAAAGGAGGAAGTGGTACAGTATGGTGATATGATCTTTATGATGAACTCGGAACACGTACCATACTGAGCAAAATATGATATCTGATTTTCTTGGGAACTGTCGTCTTTTACTGCAATACCAAGCATGATGGTCATGATGATAGTCTGAATTACAACTTGGATGCTTTACTTAAAGCCATGAGACCTAAAGATGCAAACAGCTACAGCTTCTTTCTCAAATTCTTGTTGAATTACTGTACATCCCAAACACCCTTCACAGACAGTGCCACCTTCCCACTAATTCAAATTCACATCCATTGAAATTTGCGCTGATTGGCCAAGTAATAATTAAACAATGCACAATAGTGTCGTTCGACATCTGAAACTATTGCTGCTTGGCTGAGTTATATATACTAAACAAAAAATATAGCTGCAAACTTGTACTTAAGGTGAAATAAAAAGTGAAAATAATGCAAAACTTTCAATTTCAAATGCTATAAATTATTCTTAGTGTTTTGCTCTATCTTCCTATATAAATCTTTTCTATAACTTTCAAATGTAAAGAGAATTTATGGCTGATGTAGCACTGGCCTATTACACATTGATACAGTCAAGCAAAATTAACTACAGGAACAGTATACATACATTAATTGCTGTACTTGTTATAGAACCTTCAAATGTACCTGAATAAAAATATAAAATCATGATTAAAAATAAATCTGGCAGAAATAATAGATGAAAATTGTAAAAAAAAAAAGAAAAAAAAAATGATTAAGATTTGGTATTTAAATGGCCCTCCCCGAGTTTGATGGCACCGCCGCCCACCCAAGATCTTGGCAGTTTCTCTCAACACAAAATTTTCTGCTACATCTCAAACAAGACACTAATAAGTTGCCCAAGTTAAATATGAGACTAACACACTTCTACTTTAATTCAAGAAAAACGAACTCAAACTTATTCCAAGGATAAAATAACTTAGGGAAAAAAATATTTGGATTCCTACCTGTTGCCTTTCGCATTATACAACTCTATGAAAAAATATCGAACTGGGTAAACGATTTTATCAGGTTCAAGGCCAGGGCCGTACACTTTAGTTCTTTTCACATCAACCTTGAACTTCTTCCCTCCTTTGACGTAATAAAACGTGCAAAGGAGAAACAATAATACGACACTAGCCTTCATGATGGAAGCCCAGGGGTACTGTCCCTCCATGCCCCATCCTCCCTCGGAGGCACTAAAAGCCTCGTTTTCTTCTTGCTTGTAAGGGCAAACTATGTCATTGTCTTGTATATCCCGACTGTATTGCTCCTCTCAATCAATGAAATTATAAGGAAAGGAAAACTTCGTGCAACCCAAAACAATATATATATATATATATATATATATATATATATATATATATATATATATATATATATATATATATATATATATATATATATTCTGTCACAAATATAATGTAACAAAAGCACATATGTGATTATATAGTGACAAACTGGCCAACTGCATGCCGAACGGCTAGTAAGCTGATGTGGTGAAATGATAAATTATAATAAAAATCAAGAAAATGTAATAAATGGAAAGGAAACTCAAGAATTTTGAAGGGGCATAAAATTTAAAAGCCAAAGCACAACTTATTTTTTTAAAGATGGTGGATTTTTATTTTGAAAATGGAAACAAGAGATCTTATTGGTCACGGAGTCCTGCAAATACTGGCTAGGGCGGATGCAGGGGAGTCTGACCCCCCCCCCCCCATCATCAAAAAATTCCAGTACTTTTTCTCTAATGCAGTATTGTACTCGGGGTGTTTGTACAGTAAAAAGTATTTACTATTTACTTCAGAATATATCCTAATATCAAGTGCACATGGCTTCAAATTAGCCTAAAAATGCCCACGATATTGGTCAGATAAAAAAAAACACATCTGGGTGGGGTTGCTGCACTCGTCATGTTCCTCCACCCACAACTTTTGATATTCCTGGATCCGCCCCTGATTCTGGTCATGTGAGGTGTGGCAGTTAGTGTTTACCATTGTTCAGTGCGTCTGTGTGTGTCTGTCTGTTGTCCATTGAATATTAAATCCTGGACTCCTCTTTTTCCCCAATTGCTTTTAAATTTGATTTGGAGATTCATAATTAGAGGTGAATTCTTACTCCTAATCCCACAGCCAACGAGTTGAACTTCCAAGATGGCCGACCACTTCTAAAATGGCCGTCCACTACCAAGATGGCCGTCCACTTCCAAGATGGCCGTCCACTACCAAGATGGCCATCCACTACCGAGATGGCCGACCACTTCCAATATGGCCGACCACTTCCAAGATGGCCGTCCACTACCAAGATGGCCATCCACTACCGAGATGGCAGACCACTTCCAATATGGCCGACCACTTCCAAAATGGCCGTCCACTACCGAGATGGCCACCAACTTCCAAGATGGCCGACCACTTCCAAGATGGCCGTATATTTGGTTAGAATTACTTACAGCTCAGAGGGCACTTATGGGATATTATTAAGTAACCCGAAAGTTACAAAAAATGGCCTCTGTATGGCCATGTTTGGTCAACAAAGATGTCGGCTGGATGGCATGACCACTGTCCTATGAAAAAGAAAAATCTGATCTCTTCTTTTGTAAAGATATTAGAACTATTATCACCACCTATTACGAAGTGTTAATATTGTGAACCTTAAATTTCTTGGATCCAACCTTGTTAATGTTCCATTCTGTAGAAGGACAATAACTACTACAACTGAAATATGTCACTACATAAAATTAGATAAAACACACCAAAAAAATACTGTAATGTTCAAAATAAATTTTCCTAAATTATCTAATATAATAAATACTTAGGATATCCTTTTCAGACTGGAGAGGGGTGAAGGAAACAAGAGTGAGTGATTGGGAGAACAAAAGAAAAAATTGAAATAGATAAGGAGGGTAACAACGTGACCATGACTGACTCCCCTCACACCACCAGCATCGTATAATTCTACTATAAAACGGCGTTTTTGCACAAGCTTGTGAAGCCAAACTCTTTACATTCTTCACATCCGCCTTGAGCCTGATCCTTTACTCCATACATTGAGACAAGCACAAATCACAGCATAGAGACATGCACATAAATCACAGAAAAAGGTACAATAACCCTCATTGGCGCTTATCACATGCAACCTCACAAGTGTTCAAGCCTATGAAATTATGAAGTGTCTTTTGTGAGTGTATTAAGAGAACAATGATAAATAAAAAACTCCACTTCTACTTTACATTATCTTCGCCTCTGATTTGCTTGTAAGCCGCTTGGGCAGTCAGTCACGTCTGTTACGAACTGTTGGAAAATACAATATTGCAGGCACTTCGGTTACCACTAATGATCCAATTAATAGTAATAGTCATATACAGTACATATAGCAACTACTGTTATATACTATCATTACCACGACTAACAATAATACAGGTATAGTGAAAGACAATACATTTTGGAGCACAAAATCCTTGAGCAGCGTAAATCGAGACAGCATTACAGCATTGTACAATAACGCACGGGTTACTCTAATGTGGCCGACATCCACAGAGAAACGGTGGGCACTGCGGGAAAGATGAATGTTACGAACCCAAGGCCTTGCCGGAGGTACACAGGATGCCACATCTACCAAGCATTGCCCGTTAAAGTACCTGTATAAAAAAGGGTGAAGCAACATTGTGGTGAAGAGAAAGGGAAGAGAGATTATCAACTAAAGGAGGAGAGTTCACGCGCAATAGAATCGAGTAATGTCAGAAGCAAGTGAAGAATTGATTTCAAACCTTCCGTCCAAAACAAACATAGGTAATTAAGAAATACAGGTTCTAACAAAAGAAAATTTAAATTCCACGGACACAAAATAGCCTTGATTTTTTTTCTTTATGCTCTTAATGGAAGAAAGGTTAACATTCACAACGGTTTAGAGAAAATATGTATTTAAAAGTATCTTTATTGTATCCAACCTACTGTACAAATCTGAATATAAACTTACAAGGATGACTTACAACACGTTTCATAACAGTCTAGGACATAATTTGGTATGTTCATTACAATCTACGGGTACAAATCTACTATAATGAATTAATGATGTTTAACTACAGTATTCTAATTGCATGAGAATGAATACAACTCACACCCACTATCCGTAAGATTTAGTGAAAGCGTAATATCACGTGTATAACCTACAGTATATGCCATCTAGCATTTGTTTACCTAATACTGGCTACGTTGAAACCCACTTGGCCATTTGGTTTCCCATTCATTTTATATGGAAGCCTCTTCTTGACCCCGCGGAAACTTCTTTTGTTCAGATGGAAACCCATTTTATTTACATCGAAGCTTTTTTTTGGCCATGTGTAGTTTCCTAGATCAAGAACAAAAACTATTTAAACCCTCAAATTTACATTCTTGAAATATATTCTGTACTGCCTATATATGCTGGGTTATCTCTAGTGTGATCTGGTACATCATTTTGTGTAAGACTATTGGCTGAATCAGCTTTCATCTTTGCTTCCTCTTTTGCTTTTATACTCGCCTTCTCGTATTTCATATTCATGCGATCACCAAGTTTGTATATGACAGAATAGATAATAAACATGGCCACCATAAGACCGATTGAACCCCCAACAAGTACAGGTGTTTGAGGCACTATAACAAAGGCAGAAACTAAAGACATAGTGTTAAGGATGTAAACACAAGCGGCCAACACTAATCGATGGAAATGTGTGCCTATAAGAGCACCAAATGGAGCTCCTATTGTAACAATAGGGACAACAACAAGTAGATATTCCCAACTTTCTTGAGGCATCGCCCCTGTCACGAGAGTCCTCCACCACCAACACACCATTGACGTCATGGCCATCAGAACTACAGAAGTAGGGGTCGATACTTTCTCTGAAACCTTAAAGAAAAGAGTGAGGAGACTAAACATGCAGATATCAGCCCCACTACCAGAAAAGGAGGTGAATATTCCACCAATAAACCCAAATATAAAAAGTAGTAATCTTTTCCACCAATTTAATTCTGGAATATTATTGAATGTTGTTCTTTTGTGATTCCAATTGATCAGAAACAATGCAAATGAAAAAGCAAAGAAAATGCTGACAAACCCCATCTTTTTCATGGGTGGTGTTAGCAAAGGATCTATCACCTCCAGACCAAATATGACACCAATAGAAGATCCAAGCAAACTAAACAATAAGGCGTGTCTTTCTATATGAACCTTCATAAAAAATATCGAGAATGATGCAGCTGTCATTCCATTAGCTTGTAGTGACATGGCCAGGTCGCGGGCGATCTCTGGAGGCTCCTTCATCACTAATGTCATCACTGGAAATGCTATTGCACCTCCGCCAACGCTCGTCATTCCTGAAAACATTACGTATGAAATTAACTTAGAATATATAATAATAATATATGGAGAGAGAGTGTAACAGAAGCAAAGGTGAGTATTTAGTGTTTTAGCTGAATCACAAATATTATACGAGTATGGAATATGGATACAAATGAAGGGAACAAAGGATATAGAAAAGATTTATTAGATGGATACCCTTGGGCCTTCTTGTGGGATGTGAACACATCTGCTAAGGCCACTAGAGGGTGAACAACAACAAAATTAATGAAGTACTAGGATAGTCTGTCCTTAATTCGTTGCACCTTACACTGCATCGACACCGGACTTGCATGAATAATATACATTATGCATTTAGAGGGATTCTCAATTGCATACTGTAAATTGCAGGGTGTATACCAGGGTCAATTCTAAGCCAAAATGTCGATATGACAAAATGTCGGAATCCACATAGTATTTGTAGCTCTAACAATTTTTGTGGGAAACAATGACCATGGGCGATAAATTTTGGAATATGAAGGCTGTCACTAGTCACACGTAAAACTTTGGAGCATATGAACCCCCACCTGCACAGATAGTTGTTTTAGCTACTGTACCTAACTACAACATTGTGATGTGTTATTACATTAAATTCCTTCCCTCTGCCTCTTATCACATTGTGTAGAGTTATGCGCCTAAAACTTTACATTAAATAGCATTAAACCACCTTTTGTCTTCCTGTCTCCCTGTACTTGCAACCTTATCCTATTTTCATAAATGTAGTGTACTTCCATGACGCTAACAGAATCCTAGGTTATGAGAGTTAACATCACTTACAAATCAATTTAGCTGTTGATTTTAAAAATGTTTTGTTAACCGATTTCACTATTAAAATGTGATTATTACTTACTAGCAGTGAAGACAGCATAAATGTCTTAATCAAATGGATAAATCTGAAACAAACAAGATCAAATATAATTCAACACAACACATGAGAACTAACCAGCAATGATGGAACCAAAGACCATAGTGATGGACATGGGATACTTGGTCTCATAAACATAGAAGAGGTTCCTGTAGGTCATGATGGACCAGTACCAGAAGTGGAAGAAGGCAGCAGGAATCAACAGTCCCACAAGTTTACGCTTCGATGGTGACAAACCGCTTAAGGGGCCCCTGGTATTGGTGACGTTTTCGTTGCCTTCATCTACTGCCCCTTGTTTCAGCTGACCTGTAGGTTGACACACAAAGTGGGTAAATAATCTGCCGCACCATAACAGAGCTCAAAGGGTCATTTGTCGCTGTCTTAAATTTTATTGTTGTCTACATACCAAGTGTCATTGAAAGCTATGGCTGCATTATTTGTTCGAATTACGACTCATCACGAGGATTATTGGGCTACCCAAACAGACATACTGTAATCTAACGGGAGTCTCCAGACTAGTGTAAGTTAGTCTCGGGTTACTTTAAACGTGTTTCATTCAACTTCCTGGTGGTCATATCAAAACATATCCCGGAAATCACTGTTGCTACGTCGTCATCTATCAAAACAACCACAGCTACCTGGAGAAATAAAGCCATGGAAATAAAAACCTAAAAGGAAACTTAACATAATAAAAAATGATAAAAATAAATAGGGAAAAAATAGGAAACTTGCTTACCTTCCCAAAAGTACTTCTTACACCAGAAAGAGAAGCCATTGTGGCACCACTTGCTCCAGAACCGTCTTGATGTTGTCCCATCTCCCCTCCTCATGGCTGCCCCCACCTCGTACATTGTTCTGGTTTTATTCTGCCACTCTTACCCCCTTAGTTGTCTCTGAGGAGATACAAATTTGTTACATCCATGACTTTTTTTTGAATACCTGGTAAGAAAAAAAAAAGTACTTGTCTTCCCGTCTGACATCACACGAACAGTCACAGCCCCAGTGGGAGACGGTCAAGGCCCAAGCAGTAAACCCATCGTGGAGAATACTGATTGACATGCCGAAGAACGCGTTAAATGACCTAGAAAGAGTTGGTCACTGCGGAGACTTTCTACGGGTTAGCTGTGTCTTCACCGAATTTTACTTACGAGATTAAAAAGTTTAGATCTCACTCCCTCATTACACAGGGTGGCCGGCCGGAATCAAGAGCAACTCGGTGTTCCCCTTCTTAACACGGTTCCAAGTATCTCCTCATACCACCCAGGACCATCAATCAGCATCAAGTCCATCCCTCATAAAGTGTTGGGAGCAGCGGCACGACTAATAATAATAATAACAATAATAATAATAATAATAATTAACGGTTTATTGAAAAGTTCTGCAGCCCGAAGGCTGAAAATATACATTGGACATAAATGACTTATTACATAAATTGGTGGTTTAACAAAAGCCTTCATTAGAGAAAGGTGAAGGAACATACAGTGAACATACAGATTAATGTAGGTGTTGAACAGCAAACACGTAGTGTAGTAACTCCCCCCCTCCCCCAGATGGTGTTATGAGGGACCTGACGTGATGTAGTAATTCCCTCACAGATGGTGCTATGAGGGACCTGACGTGGTGTAGTAATTCCCTCACAGATGGTGCTATGAGGGACCACGTGGTGTAGTAATTCCCTCACAGATGGTGTTATGAGGGGCCTCACGTGGTGTAGCAATTCCCTCACAGATGGTGTTATGAGGGACTTGACGTGGTGTAGTAATTCCCTCACATATGGTGTTATGAGGGACCTGACGATGTATTAATTCCCTCACAGATGGTGTTATATGAGTGAGGTGTGGTCCCAGACCTTCCTATCGTAGACGGATTAACACATCGCTGGTTGTTGTTGGGTCTCACGGGCCGTTATCACTGGGTACCTGGGACCTCACTGTGTAATGGTCATGATAAGAGCTAACCTGAAAACCTTAAGAATTCATATTACGCTCAAACGTCCACAAAACCTTCTGAGTCTCCCAGTGGAAACGTCCCCCGTTTTCTCTGTTTCCCCCGCCTTTGTCTATGGGAACAGACGCTGTATGCTGGGACCTGTTGCCATCCAATCCTTTGTAATCAATTTAATTTTGCTTTCGATAGCCGAGTCAGAGCCTTGGTAGTTGAGATAATAGTAGAGAATGAAAATGAGTTCATAGTCTCAATTTCAACGTCAGAGTGTACCGTAAATTAATTCATCGGAATAGGAGTAGCTGGACTCCCTGGCCTAGTTTGAGTGAGGGCGCCGCGGGCATTTCAACCGTTAGTAAGTGCCCGTCCCTTCATCCATACAGGTATGCCATTCCACTCTGTGTTGTAATTTGCCCTTCTTTAAGTGATTTGACCCAATTAATAGTTGCTTGTGCAAGCGTTACAGTAACGTAGTTGATATGCTCTGAGTGAAGTCATATTTACGTCTTTAACGTCCCCTGAAACGTGATGTTGTTGTCACCCGTTAGTAAGTGCCCGTCCCTTCATCCATACAGGTCCCTAACGCAGCCTTGGCCGTGTCTGTAGCGTGGATGTTGTATCCACTATGTCTGGGGAGATGTCCGAGGTCCAGTAGGATCAGTTACCTTCGTGAGACCCGGCCGTCAGACACTTCAGACTACCTATAGCCCCCATTGCTGGCTCGTCTGGCCCTAACGCTCGGTCCACGAGGTGACGCCGGATCACCAAGCCCCACACCACTACCAGCCCCCATCATGGGTGGATGAGTGTCTAACTCAGTAGGGCTATTTGTGTGGTGGAATTAATCCACTGGGATCTCCAGAGTTCGTCGGATAGTACTCCATGGTGGCTGGACCCCATGGCTGTTGCTTGAGTATCACTCCTGACGACTGAGTGTTGTAGTGGCAGTTGCCCTAGTATTTATGGTGCTAAATGACTATCATAGTTGTGTTCTTGAGTATGTCCACCCAGTAGGGTTGGAAGTGTTATTGAATATGTCCACCCAGTAATGGTGTGAGTATGTTGAGCCTGAGGGCCTAGTACTAGATTTCGTCTGTTAGTACAAATAATTCTTTCTTCTAATTTCATATTCATGTTTAAATAAACTTTGTATTTGTATAATTGTGTCTATTATTTACCTACAGTATTTACCGTTATTTCTTCCCTATTGCTTGATACTATCATTACACCTACCCACGAGCCTCCTATCGTCACGCTACCAATGGTGATAAATATAAGAGTAAAAGGAATTGTTACTGGCACACAGAGGCCCTCATAAATGGTGGGAGTTCAAGCCCTCATAAATGGTGGCAGTAGCAGCCCTCATAAATGGTGGCAGTAGCAGCCCTCAACTGTGTGAGGGTTAACTTGGGTACGACTGTTACTGTTGAGTTGTTCTCACTGACTTAAGCACTGTTCACCTCTGTTTAACACTGGTTCCATTCCTTTCCTAAATGAAATTGTAACTTTTGGCGAGAACTTGTTGATATTCCGGTGGGGAGGAGGGTTCAGGGGAGGGAGTTGGTATGGGCCAACATAACAGTTGACCTGGCTGCTCCAAGAGGAGCGCCAGGCGTCTTGACCATTCGGTGGTCAAGGATGTAGTGGGTGAGACGTAGCCTGTGCCGCGGTAGCCGTATTGCCACTACAGTATTTTAGAGGAAAAGTATCGAATGCAGACTGGTGATATTGGTTATGTTGGTGTTGAGACGCGAATGGAACGGAATACCAAGTTCTGACTGTAGGGCCGTCAGCTGCTGGTGGGCAACAAGGATTCTAATACAGGGTACTAGAATCCTTGTCGGCTTTCAAGTGATCCTTGTGATGTGCTAATGTGTGGTTCGTGTCTTCCGATTGTTTTCACTACATTAACTTTTTAACCATCATGGAACAGTGATCCTGAGCCTAACACAAGTGGACAACAGGTAAGGTGGAAGCAATTCACTTGACTGGCAGTGCAACAGCTGATGAAGACAAACATTGTGAATAGAATGTTGAAGGATAACAAAACACTGCAAATCCATGGCCGTGCACCAGTGACTTCAAGTTCAACCACTGGCAATAACTTTAAATTCAATGTGAACTTTGTCGCCCTGCAGTGAAATGTTATTCCACAAATAAAATTTCTATGTTCAACTTAAAGGAAAATGTTTTCACGAGGCAGCCAAGTGAAAAAAATTGTGCCATTTGTCTGAAATTGGGTTAAAAATTTACTTTCACACAACCATGGAATCTTAGGAGTTTTATCTTTGTAATCAATAGTTTAAACAATTCTAAAACACTTTTTTCCTATGACGTGTCCCTCGCAAATGACCTAACATGAACTAACCTAACCTCACCTCTTTGATCCCTCCCGGTATATTGAATGTTTATAAAAACAGGTAATGGTAGTGCCACTGTTTTCAGGAGGTAGTGTGCTTAATACTCCCCATACACCCCTCTACGCCATGCTCTTCTAACATATACACTTCACTGCTTCCTGCATGACTAGCACTTTACTATCAAGCACCTCCCTCACCCTAATCTTCCACTTCCTCCTTGGCCTCTCCCGTCATTCCTTCCATCTTTCGTTGCTACCTTCTCCCAATACCACTATACCAAACCCTGCTTGGCCCTCTGCTCGATATTCCTCTCATCTCATCTATTTATTTCCGCGTTTTGTATTTTGGTCAAAGTCATCCCGTCGTTTCTGAGTTTCTAGCCTAGTTCTTCCTCTTGCCGACATCCATATAAGTACTCATAACATTGGTCCCTCGCTCGATACCCTTGATGCCCATTACTTTCTATCCCACAGGTCCTCCATTACTCACCATTCACACACAACCACTCCCACATGCCAGGCACACGTCTCTCTGCAGATAAAAAGTCAAATAAACTCGTTTCCTTAAGTGAATTCATTGCTAAATATCATCTAAATTATAAAACAGTTTCGATCGATTACATCTCAAGTCCAAGTTTACCGTGATATTGTTGTCACTATGTAAAATTGATAAGGTCATATCATATCTTGTCTATTGAGTTAAGGAAGAAAGTAATTTGTAAGGTACTGTTTTAAGCTTGGATGCATAATCTAAGATACAAAAAACAGTCTTCCATTATACACTTCCTGCATGTTGCTGCCTGACTCGGGCTATACCGCACAGTTTGCCCAGATAATGCACCTGTGGCTAACCCAGTGATCCAGCCGAGCTTATCCTTACAATGTTGAAGAGGGAGATGCTAGGTCACCAGTGGGGAGGCGGCCCTAACACTACATAAGGTCCAAGTGTACCCGTGCGGGGCCTCGGGTGGTGCTGCATTATACGGCCTATGAGTGGTGCAATACCTCCGAAATAATTTATAGATAAAATGAAAACTCAAGTTCAACACTATCTAGGGGTCCTGGAGTTGTATGTAGACAATCTACTGACACTAATAAGTTAGACGATTACAACTAACCTTTAAAAGTATGTGTAAAGGTATTAGAGAGCAGATCAAATACCTGGTACGTCTACACGGACGACCTGCACAGCTGTGAATGATAGGCTGCACGGGGAGGAGAGGTAAACTCACCTAGTCATGGAGCATTCAGTGTGTGTATCGTAGATGACGTCCCATGGCTGCATGTACTGTACTCAATGTTGCATATTAAAATAAGTTAGGTGGATACTTAGCAACAAACATTGGAACTTCAAAATATTTTTTTTCCAAATGCAAGCCATAAGGGTCATAAGATAAAAAAAAACAAGCATAACTGCATCTGTTATGTCTTAGGGAGATGTGCTCGCGGTTTAATTCAAGTATATGTACCTGCTGGTGTGGGATTTCTGTGAGCCGCCCCACTTAAAATCTTGAAGCATCAGAAATTGGTGCAATTTGATGCACGGGAGGCAGTGTCGGTACTTTTTGCTAGAAATATATTGAGCTTTAT